AGAGAGAGAGAGAGAGAGAGAGAGAGAGAGAGAGAGAGAAAGAGAGAGAGAGAGCAAAAGAGAGTGAACAGGCATGCATTCTTATATGAACACGCACACTAACACAAACACACTCACACACTCACACACTCACACACTCTCACACTCTCACACTCTCACACTCTCACACTCACACACTCACACACTCACACACTCTCACACTCTCACTCTCACACCTTCACACACTATGACACACCTACACACTTACACATACACTACATACACATACACATTCTATCCATCCACATAATATACCCAAAATTGTCACAGTTCCAACCATTTTTCCCAACACCCAAGACCTACCTTATCGCAGATTTCTTTCGGCACTGAGTCGAAGATGGGAGTCAGAATGAGGCCAGGTCTGGAAGGAACACACAAAAATATATCGTTAAGAAGGAGAAAAAAGTTCGATAGCATTTAGACTTCAACATCTCTAACTAGACAGATACACTTAAGTAGTGAACTTTGTTACGTTTTGGCTATGCTTATAGCTTGGCGAATTATTGGTCGCTTTTAAGCACAAGGGGGTTATTCCGAAAAATGTTGTTTTGAGAAAATAAAGGTAAAGTTTTTGCACCTTGTTCGGTTTCTTTAACCTTAAATGTTAAGGAGAGTTTTTTCTATAACCAAACAAATATACACACCAACGAAACCAAACTTCTCCTATAGGTAGGGCAATGTCCACTTTTGATGTAGGTCAAGATTTCTGGAAACACCCAAAATCTGGGTTAGCCCGCTTAATTGTCCTTCAAAGCGACCAATTAGAAAATGTGCTCTCGAACAAACACGAGACCTCTGTGAGAGTGAGTAGTCACAGACGTGTTTATTTTCTAGACACGTGGGTCACGCTACCACATTGATTTTTTTTAGTAGAGGGTTTTACGGCGCTCGCAACTGCATAAGGTCATGTGAGCGCCAATGGGTGGGTGTCAACAGAGAAGTCTTTTACAGGGAATCAGACTTAGACTGCTCACCTCTCTAGCTTCATCAGCACAAGGTCTGCTTCGACTATCAACGCACCCCGGAAATAGCAGGTCACAAGAGAGTCACAAACATACAAAAGAAGTAGAGGAAAATGACAATAGTAAGGATCAGGAAAGAAAAAGCAGCAGTTCCCTGTTGTAGATCAGGCACAGTCATGAGCGTGACATGAGTCAGCCCGTTTACAATTCTACTGTGCTTGAACGAGAAATGTCCCCCCTTTGGGAATGGCCTAAAGACACTTCAGTCAGTGGCACTGCCCCGGGGGGTACCACATAGAGGCGCTACAACACAGTTTGCCAATTCCATCCAAGCTATTGATGCACGCCCATGAAACACTTTATTTGTGTTTTTATCCTTTAAAGAAATTTCTACGTACACCAGAATTTCCTGCTACCCTTTTAAGAATAACTGATTTGAAGCACATATTATGTATTACATCCATATGCCATAATAGAATTATTTGAAAGTGAGTGGAGAGGAATAAAAGAAGAATCAAGTAACTCAAAAATGTTTACCCTGGCAGTAAAACTAGATCTATAGGAGTTATCAGCGAAAACATATTCTCAAGTTCACCATCAGTGAGTGGTAAAGCTTTATTCTTCATTTTCACTAGACTGAACAATTTCATCTTTTAACATTAGAATCACTTTCGCTGATATCCAGCTCTTAATATCTTTACTCATAAATGTCAAAATGTCAAAAATGCTGCTGCTTCTGCTGCTGCTGCTGCTGCTGCTGCTGCTGCTGCTGCTGCTGCTGCTGCTGTTGATGATGATGATGATGATGATGATGATGATGATGATGATGATGATGATGATGATGATGATGATGATGATGATGATGACGACGATATCTCCGACTAAGACGACAGGGACACCAGTTACATACCTCACACTGTTGACCCGAATCCCAAGCTCAGAAAGCTCTGGAAAAGTGGAAACAACAAATACTTCTAATGTGGACTATCCAAATGACCTCTAGGTAGCTATTGTGGTCGTTTACTAAAAGCTGGGTTCCGAATTACATTCGATCACTTTTCAGGACAAGCGGGCTGACCCAAGTTTCGGGGCTTTCCAGAAATCTTGACCTACGCCAAAAGTGGGCTGCTCTACCTATAGGAGAAGTTTGGTTTCATTGGTGTGTCTATTTGTTTGGTAATAGAGAAATCTCTCCTTGTCTTTTAAAGAAACTGAACAAGGGGCAAAAACTTTACCTTCGATTTTCTCAAAACGGCATTTTTGGGATAGCCCTCCTTGTGCTAAAAAAAGCGACCATTCGGCAGTAAGTTATTATGAGAAGGTTTTAATTGCCAATCGAAACCAAAATTCGTTTGGTGAAGTTGATCAGGGGACGTAGCTCGTGAATTTCTTTCTGTAAAAGAACGGTGTATTTACTAAGTTACCTCCCCTGCTTTCGCAATGTCGGTTCCACTCCACACTCCTAAAGAGGGCCCATCGTCTCTTTTGAGAGCGTAGTTTTAGCAAGAGATTTACGGCACTTACAACACAATCGGGTCTCTTGATGCCAACTATTAGAGGTGTTTCCAGCGAGTGACATACAAAGAAAAGAAGGAGGAGAGATAAGGATGATGGCAGACAGACAGACAGACAGACAGACAGACAGACAGACAGACAGACAGACAGACAGACAGACAGACAGACAGACAGACAGACAGACAGACAGACAGACAGACAGACAGACAGACAGACAGACAGACAGACAGATGAACAGATAGACCGACTCACCCACAGACAGATAAACAGACTCACACACACACACACACACACACACACACACATACATACACACATACACACATACATACATACATACATACATACATACATACATACATACATACATACATACATACATACATACATACATACATATTAATGCTGTTGGCAATTGGTGTATTTTCTTGAAAAGGATGATAATGTGACATTTCGATAAAGTAAAGAATGATATTAGCGGGTCAAAAGCGACCAACAAGTAACAGGACTGTTATTTCAAGACGTCAGATTGATATTTCATAACCACTAGCGCACACTGATGATGAGGAAGGAATGATGAAAATGAACTT